CATGGGCCCACCAGGGACAGCCCTCAGCTCTTCTGGAATCCACCAGACCCAGGTCAGGCACTGGCTGAGGAACCACTCCTGGCCAAGGAGCCTCGCGGGTCAGTTAGAGGACTCGGCCACCCCTTGTGCCCTGTGCTTGGTCCCCCCAGTCCTCACTTCCTCCACAGCTGGCCCTGGTGTCCCTCCTTGGCGGACTGCAGTGTCTTGCCCCACCCAGATGTCCTGTTTGGGGACCTCAGAGCCAGGTGGCCCCCTGCAGCCTTCTGGCGATGGCACCCTGGGCAGGGAGGTGGCATAGTGGGCAGGCTTTCTGTGATCACAGTCCTCGTGTGAAGCCCCCCTAGATCCTTCCTGCTGCCGGCCAGCCATGTACTTCATCCATTCGTTCTTTCACTCCAAAACCTTCAGCTAAGTCCCCGGCTGGGCTGCACAAGTGCTGGGTGCTGGGGTCAGCTTGAACCACACCTTCGTCTTTGCCGTCAACTGGGCCACACGCTGGGGTCAGTCCTCAGTGGCTCTGCAGCTGGCCTCTGGCTCCTAATGAGGCTTCTACTCGGGCCCAGGGGCCAGGCGGCCTGGGTGCTGGGCCAGGGTGCTGGGCCACCTGCCCTCAGGGGATGGGTGTCCCCACAGGTCCATGACCGCCTGGATCGCTACTGCTGTGGCTTTGAGCCCGAGCCCACAGAGCCCTGTGTGGAAGAGGGGCTCCGGGAGAAATGTGCGAACCCGGGCGAGTTGCGGCTGGTGCACATCCTGGTATGTCCCCTCGTCACCCAGACTCCGGTCTCCCTGTCTCCTCCAGAAGATGCTGTGAGTGAGGTTCAGAGATCGTGGGGCCCTCAGGGTTCCCAGTCCTGCCCCTTTTAGTAGCAGAAGCCTTTGAATGATACGTGAAACTGGGCACAGGTGTGCGGGGCGAGTGCGTGAGTGTGCAGGTGTGCCTCAGCCCCTGCCGTCCTGCCCATTCCCACCCGTGCTCCCCGCCCCTTTGCCACCAGAGCAAGACTCCGTCCCTCTGCCTTGCAGTTTCGTAGGATGGCACCGTGGCCTGGTCCAGCTTTGAACCAGCCAGCAGCTACTTATTAGCAGTGGGACCTTGTTCGAATTATTTAACTTCTTTGTGCCTCTGTTTCTGTAAAGTGGGGCTCACACTAGTGGCCCCCTTCCCAGGTTGCTGGGAGGGCTCACTGGGTGACGCCTGGCAGCGCTGAGCGGCGGCAGCGCAGTCAGCTGACTCAGCGCCTGCGGACCACCTGGGCGAGCAGCAGGGTGGAAGGTGGGCTGACAGCTCAGGGCCCCCAAACCCCTCACCCTGACAGTCAGGGGCGCCAGCGAGGCTGCACCCTCACGCTCACCCTCACCCGCCTCCGTCTCTGTGCGTCTTCTCCCCCGAGGTCCGGAGCAGCGACCCGTCCCACCTGGTCTACATCGATAACGCCGGCAACCTTCAGCACCCCGAGGACAGGCTGAACTTTCGGCTGCTGGAGGGCGTAGACGGGTGAGGGTCAGCGGGCTGGGTGGAGGCTCGGGGCCCGAGGCCTGGCTGCCCTGCTGTAGACAGTGCGACCTTACACTGTGGCCACCTAGAAGTCCGCAGTCCACCATCAGACAAAAGCTGTTAGGCCTGAGCCTCGGGAGGGGGTGCGGGGCTCTGGGAAAGCTGAGGGGATACAGCCAACAGGCCCTTCAACTCCTGGTCACCCAGGGCGTGGCCCTTGGGACTTTGGGGGCGACCCTGCCAGGGTTCCCAGCTGTGCAAGTTCTGGCTGTCTGGCTTCATCCTTCACATAAACTCCCTGACACCACTTTGCTTTTGCTTTTGCTTTTGCTTTCTGTTCTGATGTTCGCCGAACTTCCATCCAGGTTTCCTGAGTCTGTCGTGAACGTTCTCCGGTCAGGGTGTCTACAGAATATGCTGCTCAAGTCACTGCAGATGGACCCTGTGTTCTGGGAAAGCCAAGGCGGGCGACAGGGGCTGAAGAAGGTTCTCCAGGCCCTGGAGCGGCGAGGACAGATCCTCCTGGGACGCATCCGGGAGCACAACCTGACGGTCTTCAGGGACAGGACCCATGAGCCCCACACGGCCCGGGCAGGGCCCTTGCCTCGCTAGTGGGGGCTCATAGCACGACCTGAGCGGTGAGCACCCTGCTGAGAGCCACAGGCTCACCCATCTGGAAGACAAATGGGAGATGCCAGAGCCAGCAGGGCACCATGGACGTCTCGGACAATGTCACCTGCTTGGGAAGGTGGAGGCCGTATGGGTGCTGGGTTTTCAATCTCACCACATTCTTTTCTGCCTCCTCTGCTCTGGTTATTTACCTCCTCGCACCAATAAAGACATACAAGAATGTTCTACGAACTGTTCCATATACTGTAAAATTGTGCATCCCACATGCATAAGCAGAGCTGGACAACTGTGTGCGTGTGCATAGATGTGTGTAAGTGCATGTGGCATGTGTACATGGCCACACACATATATGAGACGAGCCTAATAAAGGGTCTTTATAGAATTATACCCGTGGCCCAGAAGCGCTCGGGCTGAAAGTCCACTCAGGTGTGCATTGTCTCTGCCAGCTATATTTGCATAAGTGGATTTCTGCATCAAAGCGTATGTATGAGCATTTATTATTTAGCGAGAAATTGCCAAATTTCCCCCCAAAATGGTGGTGTCCAGTTATACTCCAACCAAAAGGGAGGGTACTGAATGTCTTCCTGCCACCTTGCCAACACTTGCCGTGCTCAAATTTTCTCTTCAACTGATAGGAAAACCTACTTTTAAAACTGCATTTCCTTAGTCCCTAATGAGGTTACCTTTCCAATTATTTACTAGTCATTTGCATTTGATTTTCTGTGAGTTGCCTTTTTCTCTTGAGATGTATGTTCTTTCCTTGCTAATCCGTTAGAGGTCTTGGAGTCTATCTAATTAGTGTGATCAATCTTTCCCTTTAGTTAAGTCATAAATATTTTCTTCTAGCCTGTCACTTGTCTCTTGACTTTGTTTATAGTGTCTTTTGCTGAGTAGAAAATTTTAGTTTCCATGGAGTCAAATCTGTTTTCTTTTCCCTTTAAGTTTTCTGAGTTTCATGCCTTCTTAGAAAGGCCGAAACTATTTCAAGATTATTGAAATAATGTATTTTTTATTCTAGTATTTATATAGTATTCCTTTTACATTCACTCTAAATCCATATAAAATTTATATTTGAAAATGGTGTGAGGTAAGGATCTAACTTAAGTTCTGTTTTACCCACAGACAGCCAGTTGTTTCAACATCATTATTCAGTAGTCTACGTGTTCTCTGCTGATCTAAAGATATTCTTACAAGGTACCTAATTCCCTGGACTGTTTCATCGATGTATTTTCAGCTCTTGCATCAACATGACACTTTTAATTAAAGTTATTTTGTTATTTTGCTATTTTGTAGGGCAAGTTCTCATCTTTTTATTCTACTTTAATTCTTTTCTGTGCTATTTTTGTGCAGTTTTCTTTAATATAATAGTGTCAATCTATAAAGCATGCCACCCCCTCCCATTGTCCTCAAAATCCCATTAGTGTTTTGATTGGGATTGTAATTAATTTATAGATTTAGTAGGAATATGACTCACTTGCAATATAAAAAATATAAAAAATTATAATTTATACTGCTATTGAGAATGAGTTATTTTTCTTGATTAGTTTTTTCTAGATAGAATTTTAGATATGTATCTTTTTTTAATAGAAAATCCTATTTTCAAATGATTATAATTTTACATCTTTATTCCACAAATGTATGTTTAAATGTGTGTGTTTGCATGAGCACCTTTATCTTTGTTGCCTTACTGCTTTGGTTGGGGTCTCTGGGGTAACAACAGCGACCATTCTCATCTCATTTCTGACTTTAATGGAAACACCTCTAGAGTTTCACCGTTGAGTCTCATCAGGTTTAAAGGAATCGTTTCTGATAAATATCTTTCCGTTAGTTAAGGGAATTTCTTTTTCTGCTTAGCTTACTGAAAGACTTTTTCAAAAACTGAGAATGGGGATTGAATTTTATCAAATGCTTTCTCCATGTCTATTGAATGAGTAGTTTCTCTCCATTATTTTCTAATGCGGAATCATTGTTACATTCCCAGGATAAACCCATTTGGCTGAGATATATTAATCTTTTAGAAACTACAGGATTTCACTTGTTAATATTTCATTTAGAATCTTTGCGTATATATTCATATGTGGTGTAAGGTTTCCCTTTTCTGTGCAGTCCATGGCCGCCTTATTATTAAAGTTAAGCGGACCTCATGAAATGGATTCAGAATTTTCCATCTTTCTAATGCCCTGGAACACTTTAAGTAGGAATCGTGTATTTCTCAAAGGTTTGATAGCACTCTCCCATAAAACCACCTGGGCGCTGTGCCTTTCTCTAGACTTTTTACAACCTTCTCAAGGAGCTTCTGAAATGATGTGGGAGAGGGGCAGTTGGGGGGGGGGCTATAAATAACTATGATGCCTGGCCATACTCAGTGGGCAGAGGGATGCAGCAGTGTCCTGGGCAAGATTTGGGCCCTTGGAAGAGGGAGATTGGCTTCAGTTCAGAAGGTTCAGGTATTTCTCTTACGATCATCAATACATCTGTCTTCCTTTGACTTCTTGTATTTTCTTCTCTCTTTGTCTTCTCAGTTCTTTCCTGGGACACCCTTATCAAGGGATGCTGCCCCTCCTGGACTCAACCAGCATCCTAAATTTAACAGCCCCCACTCTGCCTTCTGTCTGGAGTCCCCCTTCACTCCCTCCTGCCTGGTGGACTAACACTGAGCCAGAGGTGGGATCCAGACGCTTGTGACCCTAGAAAATGTTAAGGAGAGAGGAATATAGAGGAACATGTCATTGTCAAGGCAGAGTTAGGGCGCTCACACCTCTATTTGGGTGGTCTTTATTTTCTTTATTTTCACACCACTTGAGAAGGCTTAAAGTTCTAGGGTAATCTAGGTGAGGGCAGCTGGCCAGGGCCCTACAGGGAGGCAGACTGAGCCACGTCCCAGAGCCAGTTTCCTTTGCATGGAAATAGGTCTGGGAGGCTGCCTGGGGAAGGAGGGGAAATCTGTCCAGCAGGTGGGTGGGGTGGCTGGTCTGTGTGGAGCATGTGGTCTGTGGTGTGTGTGTGCGTGTGTGTGTGTGTGTGGTTTCTCTCTGAAGATATCGAGCCAGAATCTTTCTGCCAGTGAGCAAGGTCCCAAGCTTCCAGCAAGCATTTTTGGGTCCTGATGGGAACAGGTCTGCTCAGCTCAGAAAGAGAGACCATGGATGGACACACTACAGCCCCTCCTCACCTGCCCAGTGCATGCCAGCCGCCTGTGGCACTATGTGGCAGGGCCCAGCTGTCCCTGCTTAGCCTACCCAGCAAGGACACCATCTCTGGGTGCTCCCCTCAACACTGGCCTCTGCCTCTGGGGAGGGAGGTAGAGGAGGGGTGCAGGGGGCCCCAAGCTCTGCCCAAGTCCACAGAACTCCAGCATCGAGCCCAGCCCCTACCTTAGCTACTCCTCAGCTGAGAATGGCCTCGATTTGGGGCACAGGCCTTTCATGTGCTGTTCTTCAGCAGGTGTCCCTTGATTCCCCACTTTCTGCTTCAGAAAGTCTTTAAATATATGTCTACACCTACCCTTAACATTGTTTCTAGTTCTGCCTTTCAGAGGCCTGGACTTGACTGCAGAGGCTGTGGGTTCAGATCTGGCGTTAGCACCTGACAGGTGTTTACTGAGCACCTGCTATAATAACCACTAACATTTAACAAGTGATGAGCATGTACCAGGCACTGTGACTGTGGTTTACATGGTTTAAAGCATTTAACCTCCCCACAACCTGATGGGTGGGTGTGATTATGAGTATCTGCACTTTACAGATGAGGCACAGAGGGGTTCAGTAACTCGTTCAAGGTCACCCAACTGGTAGGGGGAAGGGCCAGAATTCAGACGTGGTAGGAGCTGTGCTAACTAGACTTGAGCCCAGGACCGCCACTAAAAGACACGTCCCCCGCCCTCTCCAGCTGCTCTGACGGCTCTTCTTCCTCTAATTCCTTTGGCTTCAGAGCTGATGACGAAGCAGGGCTGGTTCCCTGGAATGTGGGGCAGCAAACCAAGACTCTGGCCAAGCACATTCACATGCCTTTGGCTTCCTGCCCTTGCTCTTTGCTTGTAAAGTCTGCTCAGTCTATGGCCTGCGTCTTTCCTGCAAACTCAAAACTTTATCCCCTTTTGATGCTTTTCAAAAAGCACTCTCGGCCTCAGGGCGTGCTGCTTGCTCTCCACCTCCCTCCCCAGCCT